TAATAATCGCACTATTATTTGCGCTAGGTTAGAGTTAATGTAGTAACCACTCCAGAGCAACTCCAAGCAACATGTCAAAATGGAGTGCATCATATACTTATTAATTAAAATTATTTCAAGTATAATATCGTAGTAAAAATTAATAGGATTTGAAAAATCGATTCATCCAACTATCTCTAGCATCTTACAGTAAATAACACTAGTGATATCACGAAATTCACCTAACTAAATTAGATGACGATAAAATTTTGTTATATTTAATTCTAAATGTTTATGTTGTAGGTGGATTTGGAATCTCAAAGCAACTTATGTAAGTTAAACAAAGCAAATTTTATATAAATTTGATAGTAAGCAATATTCAATAGTATAAAAACATAGTAACTATTTATATAACTAGAGGCTATATGATTAGATAGTAAACTCTTCTATATTAGATATATAATGCATCTGTTATATAATATTTTATATCTATTGTTATGACCAGTTGGGAGAGCAATACACAATATGTGTGTGGTTTGGCTCCAGTCATAACTTAGAATAGCATTTTATTTCATCGAATGGGACTCGAATATCAATTATAGTTGGAAATTAAAGAAAGGTAAATCATTATTAGGAGAACTCAGTTCTTTTTTATATTTGAGACATTTCAGTCTGGGAAACTTTTATTAGGGCGAAAAATCATCCTTTATATACTGTACATTTTAAGGTACAATCTGAAAAACTATAATTTTATGATGCAAAATGTTTTTTCACGATCTAATCGAAGATTGAAACTTCGTTTTCATGAAAATGCATTTTCACGAAACTTTCAATTCCACTGGTTATCCCTCCGATTCCTGCTCGATAAAGTAATTCTGAAAACCGACTGCGGCTAATTACTTAATTAAGGTGATATAAGGTAAGATAAATAAATAAACAAACAAAAATGTAGCAGGCTAAGCCCCTGTCCTGTCTTGTCTTGTCACGGGAAAACAGTTACACTATATTTATATTGTGAACCCGATTTTTTAGGATCCCTACCAGATCCAAAGTCACGCGAAAAGTAACAAAAATGTTACTTATGTTACTTCCGTTATTCCTTTACTTCTGTTATTTCGGTTACATATACGATAAATGTAATATTGACCTTTTATTAGATTTAGTTAATATGTAGACTTACCTACGGAAAGAACCCACCAGTCAAATCTAACACGCCAATTTCAATTACTAATCAGTACAATTAAATTCATGATCATAAACTTAAAATATTTATACAGTAAATCCTTTATAATAATCTAGAGTAATTTATCAATTACTTTCGTATAAATTGAACCAACAAACCATAAATATAGCTTAAGAAGCTCTCTTAAGATATGATTTTTAATATTGTTTATCAAATAAAAATACGATAGATATCATATTATTATTATTTTTTTTTTAGAAATTTTTATTGATATAGTTTACTAGTAAATGTATAAAAAAAATTTTCTAGTATTTAATACAAAAATATCATGTATTCTTATCGAGATCCTTTAGTTAATATATATTATTTTGTCTTAGACCGCTTTTTTATATGTTTATACACCTTTTCCGTCATAACCATATTCGTAAGGGTAGGTTTCATAATCATAGGTTTCTTCATAACTATAAGGGTAGGTTTCATAGCCATAGCCATAGCCATGGATATAAGGGTTGTAATAGGGGTTGTAGTAACCATAGCCATAGTTACCATAGTTTTCTCCCGCAGATCTCTTGACATTTGCAGACCTCTTGACATTCTCAGACCTCTTGACATTCTCAGACCTCTTGACATTCTCAGACCTCTTGACATTTGCAGACCTCTTGACTTTACCGCAGTAACCATCGTAACAACCATCGTAATAATCGTAGTAACCACCGTAACCACCGTAACCACCGTAGCAGTAACCACCGTAACAACCATCGTACATACCGTAATAATCGTAATCGTAACCACCGTAACCACCGTAGCAGTAACCACCGTAACAACCATCGTAGTCATAAACAGGTGCACCTCTAACGTCTTTAAATTTAAACAAAAATTATGTCAATGCATAAGTCGACAAAGTTACAAATATTTATGATTAAAAAATTACCAAGTTTTCCTTCGTTCTCTGCTGATCTAGGAGCATTTTCTATTTTAAAAGTTTTGTTAAGCAAGTTAAATATATCACATTTATAAATATGAATCATTTAACATAAACTTTTAGAAAAATAATACCTTTCGAAGTTGGAATTGCAAGGGTGGTAGAGAGGAAAAGTATAGAGCACAATGCAGCGATGGTTACCTTCATTTTTGATTGTATTTAGAAAAATAAAAAGTTTGTAGGATTTTTTTTTTTTTTGTTTTGTTTATAAGAGAAGTTATTAGATCTAATTGATTAACACTGCTTGTGTTGAGCTGAAGAGGGAATTCGAAGGTTGTTTATATAAGAAATTTTCGGATTAGTTTAGAATATGAAATTATTTTGCCAATTAATAACATACAGTGTTTACCAAAAATACTGTTAAAAACTTTTTTTTTTCAAAAAAATTCTCTAGTGTGCCGTTGTATGAATTTGTATGAAGAAACAAATTAAACAATATTCATAATTAAGTTTTGATAACCTCATTCTGTAAGCATAGTAAAATTTAAAGTTTATAGTTTAAAATAAGGATAAGTCATTTAACGCAATTTCTATGAACTTTTACACTTTTCAGTCGCATTAAGCATTGTTGATAGTTCTGCAAGGGTGAGAGCAATAAGCTATAAACAATAAATTATTAAATTTGGTAAATATCTATAAAAGGCCAATTAACTTTGTTAATATAACGTGTTAATTGGTATCGGGCACCAGTGAAAAAAAAAAGTACAATGTGATTTAAAATTTTATAAGTTATTCATGATGTGGAAATAACTATAATATGTACATGCATTGATAAGAGTCAGGAGCAAAAATAAGGATGCATAAAATGGTATCATGCTGAAAAATCACATCCTAATGTCGTCAAAATACATTTAATTAATTAGAGGAATCCCAACGCCGCCGATAGTTATGCATTTATCATAATTAGGATGCTTTTAAATCATTCATATAATTTTGGTCTTAATTACACTCTTAGTAATAGTCTTCAAAAGGGTCAAATTTGGTCATCCCCGATTTCTGCAATTTTTATTATTCTTGTTATTATTCTTATTGTGAACCGGAATAATGTAACCAGGCCGGATCCCGCCTGAGGTCATTTGGACAATCCGCAGTATATTTTTCGGTTACGTCGATACTACGTCGATCCTTGACTTTTATAGGGATCCCGGCATTATAATCATTATAATGATTATAATAATAATAATAATAATTATAATAATTATAATAATTATAATTATTAAAATACTTATAATCGTTATACTGATTATAATAATTACAATCATTATAATTATTAAAATAATTATAATGTGTATAGCGATTATAATCGTTATAATCGATATAACGATTATAACAATTATCTCTTAATACGTTATGCAGGCAAATTTGCCTGCGAAAACATAGTAAACATGTGAAATCTACATACGAAGAGATAATTGTTTAAATTATTTAAATTATTCAAATCTGTATTATGTTTCATTTTATATAAATAAAGGGCATTTCGCCCCCTCTACTCAATATCGAGCAATCAAGCACTTAACAAGATAATTCGAATATAATTATCTAGTGTTCTGTCCCTAATCCAAAAAGTTCCCAAACATAAATCACTAAAACCACTTACCTGGTCTTTTACTACGTATAAAGACTTTCGCTAAGTATAAACTTGTTCCTGCGATAACGTTGCGCTACTCTTTGTAATAGAGTAATTGTCGAATTGTTCATTGAGTAAGGTAGAACTTGCCGCTTAATCTTGTGTTTGACTATCCTGAAGGTAAAGGATAAGGTCAGTAAGTTGATTAAGGGAAGTTGAAAGTGTCAATAACGTTAAGAAGACTTACCACGTGACTTGAGTCCAGAACAATAACCAAAGTCTTATACCACCGCTTGACAAATCTAAACGCCTCTTTCGATAGGTTGTTGAGTTATGTGACACGAAGATCACACATTTCGAGCGACTAACTCGCCGTATTCTGAGTGTGACATTATTATAGTGTCGATCTACAAAATCTAAAGGATAATTATTATCCCTTAGATAATTTGTATAATAATTATAGGAAGGATAGCATTTATTTTTTGTATTTCTCTTATTTTCTATATATAAATTATCTATATAAAGGATCTCTTTTCCTTTTCAATAAAATCATCTTGACTCAGTACAAGTCACTCTCTTTATAATGAAGCTTTTGGGCTGGAAAAAAAAAATCTTCACTATAGCTTATAACGAGCGATTACTATATGTACTTCACTATTTCGAACTGAATTTTAATAATATTTTTTTAAAAATTCTTCACTATATTGAAAGTTCACTATAACGAGAGTTCACTATAAAGAGATTGACTTGTAATCGACAATCACATTATATAAACAAATAATGATATCATTTGTTTACCAGAATTAAATAGATTAACCAAAACTATTAATCTAACTAAACTAACCCTAACCCTAATTAGGCCAGATAATTGTCATGTGATATTGTGATCACTGGGTTAACTATACCCAGCTTTGAGAATCCAAATCCTTTGCCTAATCAAAAAATCCTAATTAATGATACCTGACAAATGACGAAACTTTCATCATTGATGAATGACGAAACCATTTTGTCAAGTAACTTCAAATTGACGAATTGACGATTGACAAAACCTATGATGATTGACAAAACATATGATGAAACCTATGATAATTGATGAAACATATGATGAAACCTAATTACAGTAGTTATAAATCAGGGACTTGATATGTAGAAAAAATATATAACTTAATGTATATATGCCTGAATAAATTTTTGAACTCACATATCAAAATATTAAAATTATTTATGCGATTAAGAACATTATTTAATTTATTTTTTTTATTTTATTTTACACTTTATTATATGTATTCTAATACTTAATTTAATTTGCATTTTAACATACTAAAAAATAAATTGCATATATGTGAAATATAATATGAGTGAGATAAAATTATGTGATTTTAGTATGATTTAGTTTGATCACACTAAATCAAATCCTTTCCGAATTTACTAATTTATCTCCAGCTTCTAATTGCCTATACTAATTATTTACTTAGCAGAGTATTTATATTATTAATCAAATTTTTTGTAATTTAATACATTTAAGAATAATATGTATCTACACTTATTAGTAATATATTAGTAACACAAATAATATAATATGTAATGTAGCACAATAAATTTAAGTTAAATAGCATTTTTGAGTAAAATCAATGAATCTTTTTTGGGTATAAAAAGTTTAACTTGCATTTAGTTATAAGATTTGTTTTTTTTTTTTTTTAGTGATCTTGCCTATCATTTTATTAAAGAAAAGCTTACATATACTACAAAGTAAATTACTATCTAATATATAATAAAATACTCTTCTTCAACTATTTTGAACTCATCTAGCTACCTTAAGGTACTCAGATGTGATCTGCTGCAGTAACAATTTCTCTCACAAAGACTTTAGTCTGCAGGTACAAATTTTATATCTTTGGTCTAAGAGAGGCTGCTACTAGCCTTTATCAAGATTGTTTATTTTGTTTTTAATTTTAACTACTCTTCTTTTTTACTAGTTCACATCTATGTATCAACTCTTTCTAATACCTTTTTTTGTATTCTCTTATCTTTTTTACTTGTCCTTTCTTTTTCTATATTATTAGATTAAGTATTTTCTTTGTCTTTATCTTTCTTTTTGCTTCATTTTCTTTTTTTATCTTTAGTCATAATATTGTTTTCTTTTTCTTAATCAGTTATAATTTTGTACTGAAACTTCTACAGACATTCGAAAAAACACTCCTAGAAGTATTTAATAAAGCTAACTAAAATTCTGCTTACTTTTTTTTAACTGTATTATTTTGCTTAGGCTTATAAGCTGTTTGATGCTTGTGAGTTCTCTTAGATATATCCTTCTGTTTTGTATTTTTTCTTTAGGTTCTGCACTATAAATTGCTTCCTTCAGTAAATTCTCATTTATTATTATATCTAGTTTTGTTAAAACTTCTAGACTAGTTAGCTGTAAAATTTCTATTTTAACTTTTTCTTAGATTCTTTAATAGATTTTATATTCTGCCAAATAGTAGAAAGTTTTATCTTTTCAGAAGCAAGCTATGCATCTTTAGCTTTTGTAAAGTCTAGGGTTCCTTTAAAAGCAAATATTTTTTGTAGGCAAAATTTTGTTTATATATTTTATATAGAATATAAGAGCTTTGCTCTTTTTTAAACTAATATATTTTATGCTTTGCATTTTCCTAAGCAGGTTCTATATGATCTTCTAATTTAGTTCTGCATTGGAGTTGGAGTTCTGGTTATAAGATACAATTTCTATTGTTTTGTTTAAATTTGCTTACTCTGTTTTGTATATAGTTGCTATAATAATATTTATAAAAGATCTGAGAAGGCTTTCAATTGCTTGACTTTTCTACTTAGATATAGCTATTAGGTTGCTAGATATTGTCTCTGGTATGCTAAGACTTATATGTTTTTTCATTCTGTCTTTAGCTAACCTATCTGCCTAATTATTCTATTTGTTTTCACTATGACCTTTAACCTTGTGCAGTATTAAACTTAAATCTTTTGCCTTGTAACAGCTTTTGATTTGACTTATTATACTTCTGTTTTTTAGCTTGAACTAGCTTTGTGTTCTGCTATTTGTATTATCTCTTTTCAGAGCTTTTATTGCAGCTTTACTGTCTATAAAGATATGTGTTTTAGTTTCATATAGTGCTATAAGAAGAGCTGACTAGATAGCTCCAAGCTTAGCATATGTTGAGGAGTGCTAATTTTTTAAACTATTACTAAAGCTAATATTCCTATCTACTATGTTCTTCTCTTTAACTACTCATCCAATACCTATTCTACCTGTATCTTCACTTTTACTATCACTTTCTAATGCTCTATCTGTATAGTACTCAATTATCTTCCTCTCTTTTAATCTTTCATATACTTCTAATAGGTCTTCTCTTAAGTGCTCCCTTTATTAAGTTTTGAATGATTGCAGATTCAAGACTATTCACTATAATTTCTACACTTGGTTCTTGTCTAAAGTTACTACTATCAACTATTTCTTTAGTTACTATGAATGCTATCATAAGTACTTCTAGTATTAGGTTTTCTCTTTTTTTTCTTAATATATCTACTACTTGGTGCTAATTCTTATAGTTGATATTTATCAAGCATT